TGTGAACCACTACTAAATCATTTAACACATCTCTTCCAATTCCCCTCTGTTTGTTTTGATTACGTTATCGTTATCAAACAGGTAAAAACTCGTGTAAAAGGCCTAGTTTGATAAAAATTTTAATTAAATCCAGTCGCGTTTTTTGGCGGGCGCGAATTATGTGGTTCCCATGTACTAAGCACTTACTTCAAGCTGTAACTCATCAACGACATAAAGGTAAGATCTGCTCGCTCTGCTCCTGTTTTTAAGTTTGCTCGAAAATGATATTTACAAACTACTGGGGTGGCTTTCTTATTCGTTAATGGACAAACTTTAATTTAATTGCGCGCTCATCATTACTCCGGCGTCCTCGATTTGCAAATCCATTGTTGACATTTACCGCTTTTTCACTAGAATTGTTTATTGCTATTTAAATTCACGTTCGCTTTTATATAATCGCGTCACTGATTCCGTTGCTAATGGGAAACTCTTGATTGGCCTCATTTTCACTTTGCCGTTAAGAGCTGCAATAATAATAATATATACGGAAGCACGCGCCGATTTCCACTATTTCTCATTTTCTCTCACGGTTGCATAAATTTTCTAATAAAATTGCTAATTAACGCGAAGGGACCGAAATACTCCTTACGTAGCGTGTTCGTTGCTTAATTTCAATTAACTACCGCTTTCGAAACGATAATTGGTTATCGTTCTCTTCTTCGTGCCGACCCAAATTACAAAAGAGTTTAGTTTGATCAATCAGGAGCGAATCTGCTAGCATAGACTTCCATTAATTAGTTTGCTTGGATATTTGAAAATATTTTGTGCTATTAAAAACACTCGCAGACATCGGTTATTTTAAATGGAACATCCTATGTATATTATTATTTCATTTTTAGAATTGGGGTTAGTTGCTTTTAGATGAAGTTCCACTGAAGTGGATTTGATTATACATAAATGCAGGGTTTTTGGTGTGGTGCGAGGAGCCTCGAAATTCTTCCATAGACCAATTCGTGCCTATCGACCGCCTTTCTCGTATCAGGCTGTGACTAGCGTCAGCCGCCTTATCACTCAAAAGGGGAAGGGTCATCTGTCGCATCTTCCGTAGACTCAATTTAATATACGAAGAAATTAACATCACTGTCACATCTAATTGTTCAGTTTCACCAACGACAAAATATAAGTAACATAACTTCAGATTTCGACGAAATGAAGTGAAAGTGAATTAAGTCCGTAAATTTTTTTTGTTGAAAACGCACAATTAGAGAGAAACTGATGATGATGGTAGCTGGGGGCCTCACAGAACCGGAAAAGTTTCCATTTAAGTCGACACTGCAATTTCAAAATAAATGTAAGTAATTTTTTAATTAAAAGAGATACAGGAAAATGTTTAATACAAAAGTTTCTTTATAATGCTTTTTTTAATAACCTGCTCAAAGTAAGTATACAGGGTTCGGTAAAAGTTATCGGATCTATCCTAATTTTTTTTTAATGAAACTGTATATTTTAATCTCAAAAGATGGCATATTAATAACACCAAATTCATAAATGATCCAAAAAAAATTAGAAAAGATTCAAAAAAATTAGGTTCAAATCAAAAAATTTAAAAATCTCTTTTGAATCAAAATTAAGTTTGCGCACTTTTTTGTGTTATATTTTTGACTAGTGCAGGGGTCGGCAACCTATTGAAACGGAAGAGCCAAAAGTTACAATTTACAAAATTTCCCAATTTTTAAAGAGCCACTAAAAATGTTCGATTCAATATTATAGTATTTGGTTATATACAGGGTCCAGCAACAGTGCGTCGGCCTTTCCTAGCGGATACCTGGTAAAAAATAATTGAAAAAATCTTTTGTTCAAATGTCAACTATATATGGTTGTGAATCTACAGAAATTAGTTTTGAATGTACAGGGTGTCCCATTTTTATGGTGTCAATAAATAACTGATTTTTTTAAATAGAACATCCTGCATATTGATACTTGTTTCAATGTCATTTGTTCAAAGTGCCATAACTATCCTTTTTCAAATGTAACTACCACTTTTTTATTTCGCTATTCGATTGTCTTTTGTGTTCTCTTCAATTTGTATAAGGGGTGTCCCCATGGTTTTTTGGTTATTCAATATTTTTCATAAAAGTACCGACCCATTTATTAATTACAGAGTAGGATGTGATAATAAAAAACAAAAGAATACCAGAAAGTAAACAAGTGTCACAAATTAATTATGTTATTTGCTGTAAGTCGGCGCGTGTACTTTCAATTTTCTAATCAAATAAGATTAGGTAATTAAAAAGGTGAATTTCGAAAAAAATGATAAATTCTGAGAGCCGCAACTTTATATCAAAAGAGCCGCAGTGCACTAGTGTGATTTAGAATCGGCCTCACATTATCTAGGCACGGAACCACTTTTAGCGTAGACTCGAACCCACGCAGCAGAGTGTTAAACCTAGTTACTTTTCTAGTGACAAATCTAGTGGCTTTTTGATTTAGTATCGGTTCTATATAACGCGCGTGACCTAGTTCAAAACCGTACTAGCAAAGATTCGAACACACGCAGCAGAGTTTCAAGTTACTTTTCTAGTTACTTTTAAATCTAGTGACTTTTTAATTTAGAATCCCTATATAACGCCCGAGTTTTAAACCTAGTTACTTTTCTAGTGACAAATCTAGTGACTTTTGATATAACGCTCGGGTCCTGTAGTCCGTCTCACCGTACAGTACATCACAGAATGGCTGCTGTATGTATGGCCATTAAATACTAATTTTTTATTTATGATGTATGGTGACAACAGTTTCAGAGACACTTCAGCATTGAATTTTTTTCTACGACCTCTCTGAAAATGCCATAACGTATAATTTAAAGACATGGTATAGTACTCAACCCGTGCGTAATGAAAACAATTACAATAGATGAAGTACGTTTGAAAGTGTTAATGCAAATGTTAAAACTGTGAACAGACGTCGTTTTTGGTTTTGCTTTGTTTTTATTTCCAAATGACGAGATTGCCACCATGGTTAACATGTCCAGGGCGATTTCTAGGTTTTGATTTTATTTTGCCTTTATTTTTGAGTGGGCGGGGTTTCAGCCAAGGCTGCTCTACCAACCCAATCCACAATACATTTACAAATATCCATGCCCGAACCGGGACACCACAGTCCAGATAAATGAACTGCGCCACATGGGCCGGCAGGTTTTTGGACGAGGCAATGGAATGCAGTCACATTTATATCAAAAGATTATGGGAAATTTCATCAAAAGAGCTCATATGTGCCAGCAAAGCCGTCAAGGCCACTTTTCCGATTTGCTATTCCATATACGGGGTGTCAATTTTAAAACTTGCAGTCGGCCATATTTTCCAAACTAAAGAAGATATTGAAAATCGCCCAAAACCGTTTCGGGAGGATTGAGGGGGAATCAGAATCACGTTATAAGTGACCCCCCCTATTCAAAAATCCTAAATGGCAACCCCATATTTGTGACACATCGTTGGAAAGCTACTGAAAAATGCTTTCCAGTGGTACCAATAACGTCAATTAAGACAATTTAACAAAAATTTAATAATTAACAAAAAAAAACTAAATGTTGACATTGAGCGATTTATGGCAAATTGGCCAAGAACTTCAACCTGAGCTGCTTCTGTGAGGAATCTTGGTTGCTTTCTTTTTTTATTGATAACAGATCCCGTTTCTTCGAATTTAGCGAGCAAATCTTGAACATAAGTATGGCTTAATTTTTATTTCTTTTTTGTTAAATTGTCTTAATGAATATTGACTTTATTGGTACCACTGGAAAGCATTTTTCAGTAGCTTTCCAACGATGTGTCACAAGCATGGGGTTGCGTTTGGGATTTTTGAAGAGGGGGGGGGGGTTGTCACTCATAACGTTATCCTGGTTCCCTCGTGATACCCCCGAAACGGTTTTGCGCGATTTTCAATATCTTCTTTAGTTTGCAAAATATGGCCGACTACAAATTTTAGAATTGACACCCCGTATATACAAATCATATCGTGCATAGTTTATTAATCAATTCAAAAATCGCCATTATTAATTAAAAACTTACGTTTTCTACTAAAATTACTTCTTGCGTGGTAATTCCGGGAAGTACTTTCGGAGTACACCTTTACGTCTACCTTCTAAATGTCTTATCTCCCTGTTCCCGTTCCCGTGGAAATTTTGGAAAGTGCTTTACTAAATCAGAAACCTTCGCGGCCATATGTCCAACCATTTCCCAAAGTATCATTGCAATCGGATGAACAGTTTAGGAAGACATAAGAAACATATAGATAGAAACATTGATTTTTATTTATATACACTACAACCTATACAGTTAATTTTTGTTATTTGCGACATTTTCAATTAACTACATACGAAATCACTCACTAGTAGGTGGGGGACATTTTGTAACCCGAGGGCCCTATCTTCAAATGAGTATAACTTGTGTTTAAAAAATGATTTTAAAAAAACTCCATTGTCGTTGTCCGGCCAAGAATTACAGTGATTTTTTTTCGAATTTTGAAAACCTTGATTTTCATGTTGCAAAGCACCCAGATACCAAATTTCGTCCAAAACAGAATTTTGTTCGCACCCAAAATTAGGGGTGCGCCCTTTCGTGGTAGAAATTTTGAAAAAATGTTTGCAAAATCGGAAAGAACATACCCGAAAACCTATTCAAAAACGTGCCACCAGTTTTTCTAACTCTTATGGTTGCTGGACTGTAATCCTGAATTTTTTCCTTGAGGTTTACCATGTATTTCTTATGCCAATAATTCCATAGCTTGGTTTAAATGATTTAACATTTCTTATTTATTGTCTCGCTTAGTCACAATCAACACGGCAATGGAATTATTGCCATAAGAAATACATTGTAAACCTCAAAGCAAAAATTTCTAAGTTGATTCCCAAGTGTAATACTAAGTATATGATCCCTCGTCTCGAAAATAACTGACATGTAGTAACTTCGCTTGGCGTCAAGTATCACACATTTAAAAGCTAAGCAAGCAAAAAGGAAAAAAAATAAATGGGTCCCCCGCCCGTAACCATCCATCAGCCGCTTGCCCGCTGACTTCATTCTTTGTTTGTGTGTCAGTACGTTCGCACGTCTGGAAAATTTTTTTCCGTTCGTTCCTTTTTTTGTTCTTTGCGCAGTGTTTTGGTTATGCCGGGGTTTCGTCGTATTAGGGCACGGAGTCCTAAGGGGAAGAGTGGCAGGATCCTGAAGGTGTTGGAGGATTTGGAGAGGCGAGTTAAAGGAATTGAAGGTCGGGGGCGGCGACGTAGAAGTCGACGTTTACTTTCGTCTTCGTCATCGTCCAGAAGCTCGTCTCCTGCGGCTGCCAGTCCGTCGCCTATTCGTCACCGACGGTCTCGCTCCCTTTCTCGTTCTCGCTCTCGTTCACGCTCACGCTGCGGATTTCCCATCCGCATTAGTGAGGTCCGTCGCAGTCGAGACTCTCCGATTTCGAGCGACGCAGTAGCAGAGGACGTTTCAATGGCAGGTAAGGGGCTTTGCTTTATTACCTTTAGTTTTCCGAGTCATTGAGCACTCGAAGAATCTCTACTTTTGTTACAGTAGGATTAAGAACATACAGGGTATGTTCATTAAGAGTCGTTGAGCACTCTTCTTCATAGTAATGAATCTATGAAACATGATTTACTGAGCTAATGAACGCTCAAAATTTTTTTGGACGCTAGGCTTATTTTTAAGCTCAAGCAGTGAGTTTTTGAACTCTCGTTAACATAGTAAGGTTTCTATGTGCGAAAACATTTGACAACATTTTTTGTTTTTGCCAGCTTTGTGTGCCTCTGAGTTTTAACACAAGGCGTTGTTTTAGATAACATTATTTTCGAAGGGGAGGCCGCCCAAGGTTCAGCGGCGGCCCTAAGTGAAGATGTGTTGGACATCTTAGGACCTAATGAGGCACCCACCATTGTGCATGGGCCAAAAATTAATGGTAATTTGGTGCCACGGTGGGAAAGCATTTTGCAATCAGGGCTGTCAGATGAAGACAGGAACAAGTCTCTGTCAAAACTCCCTCCACCTGAAAATTTCCAGAAATTACTTGCACCACAATTAAATGCAATGTTGGAAAAAGCCATTTCTCTGTCGCAAATTGCAAGAGACCTTAAATTGCAGAAACTACAACAATTGGTGGTAGGCAGCATCTCCGCCGTGGGCCAGGTCCTCAGTTCAATTCTAGCAGAGCCAGGGGGGGGAGACAGGCATCATATTGAACTGTTATATGGGGCAGGGAGTTTGTTGGCGGATTTGTGGCATTCTCAAACAGTCACACGCAGGGACTTAATCTCTATCAACCTGAGTAAGGAATTTCAAGAAGCCAATAAGCGGATTTCCCTGGATAACTTTCTATTTGGAGAAGATCTACAGGAAAGGTTAAAAGTTTTCAAAAATTTGGAAGACTGTGGAAAAACCCTCAAAGCAAGACCCCCCAAAACCGTTTCAACACCATCAAGGTCAAGATCCAACACTAGTGCTTTGAGTTCAAGGTCTTTAAACTACAGAGCCCCGACTCGGGTCCTGCGGGGAGCTCACCGAGGAAGGGGCAATTTCCGTCAACAAGCTCCTTACCCACTCAGACAACAAGCTCCACAGCAGTTCAGTCAACCTCCGAGGGACCCGAAGAAGCACCGTTTTCGAGGCCACTTTTAAAGGTTAGGGTGCTAGCGGGCAGACTCAAGTTTTTCTATAGAAAGTGGGATTTGTTTTGTAATGACAGGGTAATTTTAAGTTGGGTAAAAGGCCTTAAAATTCCATTTTGGAAATTACCATCGCAGCGAATATCCAATAGGCCCGGTTGGTCTGGCTACCCAGGGGCGGCGGTACAACGCTCTGTTGACAAACTCCTGTCTGTGGGGGCCATAAACAAGGTCAAACCATGCAAAAATCAGTTTCTGTCTAAATTTTTTCTCAGGCCCAAAAAGGATGGATCTTACAGATTCATCCTAAATCTCAAAAAATTAAATAAATTTGTGGCTTGCGAGCATTTTAAGATGGAGGATCATCGCACTGTTGCCAGGCTTCTTTTTACTAATTGCTTTATGGCCAAGATTGACTTAAAAGATGCCTATTTTTTATTACCCATTCATAAAAACCACAGGAAATATCTTAGGTTTCAGGTTGAAGGTAACATATATGAATACAATTGTTTGCCATTTGGACTAAATGTAGCTCCTCGAATATTCACCAAACTAATGAAACCAGTGTTTGCACACCTTAGAAAAAAGGGACTTATTTCAGTAGTTTATTTAGACGATATTTTATTATTTGGAAACACTCGTCAGAGTTGTGTTCACAATGTTAAAGAGACTCTGAAACTTATCACGTCTTTGGGGTTTATACCGAATCTGGAGAAAAGTCAACTAGTCCCGTCACAAGAGATTGAGTACTTGGGGTTTGTATACAATTCAATAGATATGTCCATCAGTTTACCATCTACAAAAATCTCCAAAACATTAAAATTGCTTAACAGATTTTCGCTATTACAACGCTGTTCAATCAGGGACTTTGCTACAGTTTTAGGAACTTTGACTTCCGTGTGCCCTGCCGTTAAATACGGTTGGCTTTACACGAAACTGCTTGAAAGAGAAAAGTATTTGGCGCTGGGTACATCAGGCAACTATAATAAAGAAATGGACATATCCTCTCAAGTTTTAAAGGAATTACAGTGGTGGTTAAGCAACTTACCATGCGCGATAAACCCGATTCGATTAGATGTTTTCAGTATTGAGATTTTTTCAGACGCCTCTTTGACTGGATGGGGCATTAGTTGTTCTTCGGAGAAATCGCGGGGATTTTGGTCAGATTCAGAAAGGCATCACCACATAAATTATCTCGAACTTCTTGCGGTGTCTTATGGTCTGAAATGCTTTGCTGCAAACCTAAGTAACTGCAACATCCTTTGTCGAGTCGATAACTCAACGGCCTTGGCCTATATAAACAAAATGGGTAGTATTAAATTCCCGAAGCTTAATGAACTTGCCCGGATCATCTGGCAATGGTGCGAAACGCGAAACTTGTTTATATATGCTTCATACATTAAATCTTCGGACAATATCATTGCGGATGCAGAATCTCGCTGTCTGAAGATTGAATCGGAGTGGTCCTTAAATGTATCAGCATTCAATAAGATTTTGGACGGTTTTGGTCAACCAGAGATAGATCTGTTTGCTACCAAAAATAATGCCAAATGCACAAAGTTTGTCTCATGGTTGAGAGATCCGGAGAGTATTGCTATTGACGCGTTTACTATAGATTGGAAGAATTTTTTCTTCTATGCGTTTCCTCCGTTTGCACTAATACTAAGAGTGCTGCGGAAAATTATAACAGACAAGGCCAGGGGCATACTGATAGTACCTCTCTGGAGCTCCCAACCGTGGTACCCTCTCTTTACTTCTCTGTTAGAAGGCCCCCCAATTATTTTTAAACCTAATAGGGATTTATTGTTGTTTAACAGGATACCACATCCCCTATGGAGAAAAACTACCCTGGTGGCCGGGATTGTATCATCAAAGCCTTGAAAGCCATGGGGATTCCTTCTGAATCCCTAGAGATCTGTTTAGCCTCAATAACTCCCAATACTATTAAGCAATATAATGGGGGTTTGCGTATGTGGTGGCAATACTGCAATAATGAACACTTAAACCCCCTTGTTATCTCGGTACCGGCGGTTTTGAAGTTTTTTACTGAGCAATTTAACCGGGGCACATCTTTTAGTACGCTGAATTCTTACCGGGCTGCTCTTTCACAGCTGTTTGGTCCAAACCTGAGCGAAGATCTAAGGGTAAAGCGATTTTTTAAGGGGTTAAGCGCTCTAAGGCCTCCTTTGCCAAAATATGGCAGTACGTGGGACCCCGCGACGGTTTTAAATCATTTCGGCTCGCTGAATAGCACCCATCTTTCCTTAGAGACTCTAACGCTCAAGACCGCGATGTTACTAGCGCTAGCCACAGGACAACGCGTTCAGACCTTGGCGAGCATCGAAATTAATAACATTCGGCGGCTATCTGATAAGATAGAAATTCCCATTTCGAAGCGCATTAAGACTTCTAGAGTTAAAAGAATTCAGCCAACTCTCATATTGCCTTTTTTCGATGATAATATTTCCATTTGCCCCGCAAGGACTTTGCTCTTGTACTTGAAAGAAACACACTCCTTTCGAGGTAGCGTTTCTAGTTTTTTTATAACTTATAAAAAACCCTACCGAGCTGCAACCAGCCAGACCATAAGTAGATGGCTTAAAACAGGGTTAAGGCAAAGCGGCGTAGATACGAGCCATTTTGGGGCTCACAGCACTCGACATGCCTCTACCTCACTGGCATCGAAGAAGGGTATCTCGTTTGATACAATACGGTTAGCAGCGGGTTGGACCGAAAAATCCAAGGCATTCGCGCTTTTCTACAACAGGCCGATAGTAACAGATGGTACGCATTTTGCGAGGGCGGTTCTTACTCCCTAATGTCTTTAGTTCTTTAGTAGTTACAGTTTAAATTTTACATAGTTACACAGTTTTACATAGTAGTTACAGTTTAAATGCAATTTAAGTGAGATTAATGTTTTGGTTTCATGTTTTTTACACTATGTATTAGTATTGGTATATTATACGGTATTACACGTTATCCTGAAACTTTTGTTGCAACTTACTTTAAACGGCTACATGTCAGTTATTTTCGAGACGAGGGAGAAATATAATTCATGGATTAAACGAACTTACCTTAATGATGTTTAATCCTAATTATATGATCCCTCGTCGAAGAAAATAACTCCCACCCCCATCCCTCCCTGACCGTTGCAACAGGGGCTTTAAACTAGAATGAAGTCAGCGGGCAAGCGGCTGATGGATGGTTACGGGCGGGGGACCCATTTATTTTTTTTCCTTTTTGCTTGCTTAGCTTTTAAATGTGTGATACTTGACGCCAAGCGAAGTTACTACATGTCAGTTATTTTCTTCGACGAGGGATCATATAATTAGGATTAAACATCATTAAGGTAAGTTCGTTTAATCCATGAATATTTAGTATTGCGGATTTTTAAATTTTTTTCTTCATCGAGTGACGTAAAATTTCAATACGCCCATAAGAAATCAGAAAGTCACTCAAAACTACAAGTCATAAAAATTTTATTTTAGCACTATCAGAAAGCTAAGAACTATTATTAAAATTATTTTTTGATATCTTTGAAAATAAATGAACGCCAGCCTTTTCTTGAAAATAGGTTTTTTGGTTATAATTTCGCTGTGTGACGCTGCAAGAAACCTTGAAAGGGAAAATTAATCAGCATGCAATTCTGGATAACTTTGTCCATATTTAAGCGGCTTATCGTGCAAATGAAAAAAAAACCTGTATTGTATCTTTCTTTTTAAGAAGTGGAATCGGGTGTTCCTACAAACTCACAAAAATTCCTACATTCAGCCCTGGAATTTCAACCCAGAATTGTGATGAAAAATGTTAAAATTACTATTCATTGGTCCATTTAAGTGAAAAAACGTTCAAAGTGTGGATGCCTCGGAAGTTTTCACCAGTAAATAAGTTTAGCTATGTTCGGTTGCCACTTCATGAGCTCTACAAGACACCGTTGGGAGATTTTCAATACAACGTTTCATTTCGGAAAAATCATTAGCTTTATTTTTTTTATATGGCCCGTAAAAAAAATACGCGCTGTATTGAGTTGCATGTATGGGACTTGCAGAGGCCGTGAACAAGGCGCCCGGTCTTGTAAAATGAATGTTTTGACGGCACAAAAAAAAATTGGAAACTGTTGATTTCAACAGGATGGTGCTCCAGCGCACTGGAAATTTGGAAATATTCACCGCCGTGACGCTATGCAACTTTTTTTTTGTTTAACCCTCTTCGACCACCCACCATCCGCGAAATTGCTGCCAGACGCTGGGATACGTTTTAGTGGCTTACCTATCTTATCAACAAATATCAACAATAATTAAACCATTAAAAAAAATATAGACTATGAGTATTAGTCACAAACGCAAACAAAAATGATAAAAAACGCGCTTTTGGGTTTTGAGCTAGGAAGCTGTTCTTTTAAGAGTTTGGCACCTGGTTTTTCAATACAGACGGCTGTTACATTGCATAATTCAGTTTGTTTATATAATCTTACTTTATTCGGTGCTCAAAATGCATATTGCAAAACCGTCGAATTGAAATTGTGACGCTCGCAATTGGGCGCAAAATTAAAATTTGGACAAATTTTCAACACTTCAGACAATGGGTGGGATGGGATATTGCGTACTGTTTGACCTTACGTAATCTTACGGTAAATGCATTGTGTGTTTTGCCAAATATATTGACAGTGCACGTAACACCAACAATAGTGACAATGGCAAAAAAAAATCGCAAGGAAGCGATTCCACTCCACTCGGTTATGACATAAATTTATGCTGCTCGCACGACATAAAAAATAACAATCACATTGTTGCAAACAGAACAATAAAATCAACGCGTTCTACAAACGTTGCCTTGCGTAACCTAGAATTAAGTTCATGGAACACAATTTCAACAGAGTTAACAATTAGACAGATGTACAGTTACATCATTCGTAGCGTAGTGAAACAAAACGGCGATAAACTCCGCCCGCAATTTGACAATATTCTCGATTCAATTGGCAAACAAACATTTCAATTAAAATTTGTTGGTACAGTTTTGGTCAATTTTAATTTCGTTTAGGCGATGAAAAGTTAATGGATCGTACGATCTCCAGTTTGTGGTTAGCTCGAAACAGTTTCATTACTTCCGTCGTAAACGGTGGTTAACGCATTTAATGGTTTGATGCACGTTTGATTTGGAAATTTGGTCATCAAAGAAAATACAGTTAGACGGCCATTTGACGGATCGTCGAAAGTTATGATGTGAAAGTTGGCATGACTGGCTTTAGCCATAATTTTTTGTCGTCTCGACATTACGCTTTCGCTCACAAAACCTACTGACAAAATAATTATTCGTTTTTCCTCTAACGCTCGAAGAATAAGTGAACATTGACCCAAATTGATAAAACCACATTAGTCTGATGGTAACGGTAAAGTGCCTTACTTCTCGCGCTGTGGGTAAAAGCAGATTGCAGTATTGCGACTTAAAAAACAAGGGAACTAGAGTCCCTATAAAGGGTACAGAATTTCTCACTAGTAACCTCGACGAGTAGAATCGAATTCATTGTTCGCAGAAACCGCAAGTGGCCTTTAGATCCCTTCCGGTAGGCTGGTGATAATTTGTTGACATTTTCGGGGCCCGATTGGAATAATGAATCTTAAATGTCGCCATTTTCGCTACCTCTCAAACCGTTCCCATCACTAGATTTCAAGGAAGCGAGCGTATTCAATTTCTTTTATTGACAATTTTTACCCCAAAAAATCGATTTTGCGTTGGCACAACCTAATTTTTTGTAAAAATCAAAAAAACGTTTAGGATCTTTTGGCAATTTGCCAAGAAACTATTCTAAAAGGGCACAATTTTGATTCAAAGGTTCAGTCTAGTTGGACATTTTTATGCGAGTGGCTTTCTATACCTAAATGTGAAATCAGCGCCATTTTAATGGTGCACAGAGACTTGTTATAACTAGACCGCGCGTAACGTACATTTTACTATAAACGCCTGTTGTCAAGATAGGATAGGCAACCAACTGTTCATCGCGGGGCAGACGTACGTTCTGCAGCTTGCTTTAGCATATGTTTATTCTAAATTTTATTTTAGTAGCAAAAAAAGATAACATATAACTGTTAACTGTTTTAATCGAATTTATTGGTATTTTATTTGTACTAAATTGGTATATAACTGCCTTACTCTGGTCCTAATTCGATTTATATTTGTATTTTGGTGGTGAACACGCATGGGAAAATATACTCTTAAAACTAAAGATGTAAGTAGTAAGATATGATTATTTAGCGGATTTTGATTCAATATATGCCTATCCAAAAACCCAAATGGGCTGTAACTGTTATTTATTTTTCTTAGACTGCTGATAACCATTTTGTTTACAACGCGGTGTGGTGTGGATTGAATGAAAAACCTGAACACATTTTCAGCAATTTGGCAAATTTTTAATTCATCGCTTGATACGTGCAACAATCCTCCACGATTTTTTTCTAGTTAAAAGCTTTGAATGACTCTCTGATGCGAATATCGCATCTGCACATATGGAACATTTAACAGACTTATAGCTATTTTTCTTGTAACAAAACCTGAAATATACTTAGTACCAGTAAGTATTTAGTTACGTCTATACCTAATAGGCAAATAGGTACTGCCGTTATCTGGTAAAGGATGTCGAATAATAGTTCTACGTTATTTTAAGTGAATGGGAAAGTCGAAAACGCTCGGTA